ACTTAAATGTTTATCCTTTGCTTTAGCTGTTGGAATCCATTAAAATTGTACTTGAAAGAATATCTTTCCTTATGAATTCTTAATCATGGCTGAGGCAAGCAGTAGATTAGATATAAATCTAGAGGCTTCAGGAAGGATAAACAGTATTATGTTTATATCCATTTTGGAAGTAAGCAAAAAAAACAAAGGAAATAATCATAAGAGGTGGGTACTGTGGTGGATCCTACAAAAACATAATAGATGTGGAGAAAAGTGTTGCATTTTTGAGAAAGGAAGAGAAACTGATTTTATTACTTCATCCTGAATCTTTTAAGTATTGATCTTGGTTTGTTTTCCTAAAGCAGCAATTCAGTGCAGGGCATTACTGGAAGCTAAAACGTTAGTGGAATAGCCTTTCTTGTTTATCAAGTCATTTAAAAAACCCAGCAGCATGGTTTAATGCCTTTTCTGTCAGTCTCTTTCTCGGTCTGTTTATTACTGATTTGACGGGCTCTGGTCCTTCTCCTTTGCTGTTAAACGTGTGTGTCCTTTGTTTGTGCTGGTGGCTTTTGCTATATTTGGATGTGAGAGAAAAGCCTGTCCTTGCCATACTCATATAATTAGCCTTCTGGGTGAACATATACATTAAATAGACTTTCTAAGCCATGAAAGAGGGAAGCTCACAACAGCGTAGATTTTCTTCCTGTACTGTTGTTTCGCCTATTTTATGTCCTCCACGAATTGATGGCCGAAAGCTTGTCCGGAATGCTTCATTTGGAGGATACAATGAACTTTCGTTGCCAGGTTTGTTTTTTAGTCTTATTTCTTAATTTCTTACACAGTTTTCATTAAAATAAAATAGACATTTTAATATCTTAAACCTGCTTTGGTTTAAAGAAAACAACTTTATGTGAAAGGTTAGGTTTTAGTAGCTGCTGCTGTAGCGCTTGGCTTTTCCATATTTTCTCTTACAATTTCTTAAGCTCAAACTTGAGAACTAATGATTCAGTAAAGTACAAATTTTCAATACTTACAACATGAGTTTTTGTTTTAATTATAGAGGTAAATAGTATACCCTTTGATAAAATTAAAGCCTTTTCTGGATTTGAGATGAATGTAAAATTCTATAAATGAACAAATTATTCTGAGATTTCTATAAATGAAACCCAAATATTTAATATTGATATTTGTTTGGCTGTTTTCAGGAAAAGAGTAACTAACCTAAAATTGATGTTTAGTTTAATTTTTAATAGCTCAAGCCCTGACTAAAGTGAAGTTTTCTGCCTGAGAATAATATTTGACATCCCTTACTTGTTGTTAGATATGTTTGTGTATGTTGTTTTTGCTAAGAAAAACAAATTGTTAGGGAAATAGTTATTAAATGAAATTTGGTGTTTAACAGCTATGATTTAGACATTAAATCATTTGTCAGTGAGAGGTAAATATAAATTGATCTTTTATTGTTTGAAAAAGATTTATTGTAGCAAATATTTGGATATATTTTAAAATATAAACATTTTTTTCTTTTCAAAATTTTAAACTGCTACATAATTATATCTACTCTTTAAAGTTATATTTTTCTTTTAAAATAAAAATACTCTTAATATTCATGAAAAAGAAATATTGACTGAAGCTGGTACTTTAACAATCTATTTTTCTGACACTTATATTTTGTTATTCTATTTTCACACTAATTTTTATTCTTGACTTTTTGTGAATATTCATGTTGATAGATGATATATTCATTTCTTTGTGATAATGAAACACTATAGAAGGTATTACCTGAGCAATTAAATAAATTATTTTTAAATTCACTGATTTCATTTTCTTTTTTAAGTGTTTCTGAAAAGAATTGGAAACCATAGTCCTGAACTGTTGCCTAAGTAGTGTAAGCTTTAAATAGCATTTATAATCCATATTTAGTCTTGTTAGTGTGGCATGGTACTATCATGCTTCTTTCTTACATTCTCAAAGGGTTATAAAGTATATTAGTATTTATCTTTGTTTGAAGTGGCTTTGAAAATACAATATACTGAATTTTTAAAATGTTGCTAAATGCTCTCTTTGCTTTTACAATGTGATTTCCATTTCTATATTTGTTTCTGCCTCCTTGTTCTTTTTTTAAAGAAAGCCAGCAAGCTTGCTGGAATACCTTTGTTGACCTTGCCTCAAGTCTGCTCAATACTAAAGAATCATGTGACCCTAATAAAAAAATAGAAAACGTCACTTTTCAAATTTGGTATTTACTTAATTAGGTAATTAAAGGCAGAATTGTCAGTTTTCTTGTCAAAGAATATATTGAACGTCATTCTGGATCAATTTGTTTGAATGTAAAAGTGAATGATTGGCTTGTTTTTCTAATTCTTGAAACAGAAAATATCATATTCATACAGATACTTCCATATTCCACTTAATACAACCAACAGTTATATTATAACCAGCCATGATAAAAAGCTCTTTAAAATATGTTTTATCAGCTCTTTTAAATATGTTTTAAATGGAATTAAGTACTTCCACGAAGCAAGCAGCTTTTTATGTATTTTCTAAAGTTAAAACTAAAAATGGAAAGTCTTGGTCATTTTATTGTAATGAAAAGAAAAATTTTAGGTGTGTTTTTTTTTCATCTGACATTTAAAGGTAACTTTATCTTACTACTTTGATCACAACCTTTTTTCATTTTAGTTTTTCTTAGGAAAATATTTTTTTAATTTTTTTGTAATTTCTACCTTCAAAAGTACATTTGATATGACCTTTTTCTTTATAATGAGCTATAATATCGAAATGGTACTCCTGCCCATCTACTCATAGTGATACCATAGTACAGTTTTTTAAAAGTTTATATAGAGAATCTCTTATTTTTAAATATGTTTTTATTGATTTGAGGGAGAGAGGAATGGAGAAGGATAGAAACATTAATGAGAAAAAAACATCAACTGGCTGCCTCCTGCATGCCCCCTCCTAGGGATCGAGCCAGCAACCCGGGCATGTGACCTGTTGGTTCATAGGTTGATACTCAACCACTGAGCCACATCAGTCTGGCTAGAGAATCTTTTAAAATGTGATTTGTTTATTGGTTTTGACAGATAACATACAAACTAGGTTTATTAATGTCCTTTTCCAACATTTGAAACTTTCTATAAGACATACTTGCATGGTAAAAAAAAAAGCTTATTCAGACTTACAACTTCTACTTTTGTTTTAATTTACTGTTCAGTTTTTAAAATAATATGTGAATGTAGACACAGTGAAGTGGTGTTTTTCTTCATCTAATAAATGGATTTGTCTAAATTCAGATGAATATAAAACTTCACTAGAGAAATTGAAATCTGTTTTTGTGAGAATAAACGACATCATTTTTTATTTACAATATATACTTTTAGAAAAGCTTTATGCTCTTGTACATATATTTAGAAGATCTTTGAAGTGTTTTATATTAGTTTATTAGCATTGAGAATTACCTATTACAAGTATTTATTATTCTGAAATATTTTACAACTTTTAAGCTGAATTATATAACTTCAGTTTGTTTTACACTAAAGATTCTAATTCTGATAAGTTTTCATTTAAAATTCCATGTTGGATTTATGAGACAGGTTTTTCCCCCAAGGGTTGGAGTTGTGTGATCATTCTCTTTACCAGAGGGGGCGGGAGGGAGGTGGGGCTGGTGGAGGGGGTAATGCCTTCTTTATATTACAGAAAAAAATTCTCTAAAATCCCTGAATTAGGAAAATGGAATGGATTTGTTCTTAGCTCATATAAACCAAGTATAGAATAAATGGTATTTTTGCTATGCTAGAAATGATTTTTAAGTCCTGGGCTATGAATAATTATATCCTATATAATAAAAGGCTAATATGCAAATTGGCCAAACGGCAGAACGACCAGTCGCTATGACACGCTTGACCACCAAGGGCTCCCACAGGGGGAGCACCACTCAGCCAGAAGCTGGGCTCACGGCTGGCGGGTGCAGTGGTGGTGGTGGGAGCCTCTCCCGCCTCCGCTGCAGCTCTAAGGATGTCTGACTGCCTAAGCCGTCAGCCAGACATCCCCTGAGGGCTCCCGGACTGTGAGAGGGCACAGGCCAGGCTGAGGGCCCCCCCCCTCCAAGTGCATGAATTTCATGCACTGGGCCTCTAGTGTGTATATATATATATATATGTATGTATACATATATACATATATGTATATTTTTAATATAGGTTTTTATTGGACTCAGAACAAATAGCTTTAGGGAAGAGTTAATATTACTTGCCCTCAAAAATAGAAAGAACATTAAAATGAGTACTGCTCTTTCATGTCTGCCATATAAATCTCAGAATTAGCATTTCTCTAATTACGCCCTTATAACATTAATATAACTGCTTTTGGCATAGTGTTACATGATTGCAGAGATGTGTACATGTTTATCCCAGTACACTCATGTATTTTAGATTCATCCTTTTACAATGTGTATAGCAATAGTGACAGTGATACAAGGGTCAGTATTAACTGAACGTATACTATGGTGCAGAATACTATGCTAAATGCTTTCTGTGCAGTTTCATTTAATTCTCACAATAAGCACATTGTTAGATTTAAGTCTGTTCCTCAGTTCAGATTTATTGCCCTGGTCATCTTTTATCACTAATTCTGGAATTGTTTTTTAGTTTGGCAAGAGGTATGAAAAGAATGTTAGATTGGTTTATCAGGATTCTTTGTAAGGAAACAGTTCACTAGGAGAATAAAAGCACCATGAAGTCTGAATTCATCCAGAGTGCTCTAGGAGCAGAGAAAAGTGGTATGTAGCTTGATGTTGGTGGGTTCAGGGAAAGATTTCATTACTTCTGGAAGCCTTAATTTTAGAGAATTATTATACTAGAAACCTTTAAACTTATAATAGTTTAAAACTGTATATTCAGTCTAGGCTTAATGTATATAAAACATAATATATATTTGAAATTGAATGACTTATTTGCATTTGCTTTTAGCGCCTACATATGCTCAAAAGTAGTGATACTGATGTAATCACAATGTTTTTAAAGGTTTTGAAAGAGGAAGGGAAGACATTTCTCAGAATAGAGATGACTCTTCACTTTCTATGTCAAAGAGCAAGGTAAGCCTATTGTTGTCCCCAAATATATGAGTAAAACATTTTTCTAACATTTAAGATGAGGAAACTAATACTGTAATCCTATCAGATCTTGTGAGATGTTCTTAATGTGGTATATCTAAGCCCGTGATGGCGAACCTATGACACGCGTGTCAGAGGTGACACGCGAACTCATTTTTTTGGTTGATTTTTCTTTGTTAAATTGCATTTAAATGTATTAAATAAATATAAAAAATATAAATCTTTGTTTTACTATGGTTGCAAATATCAAAAAATTTCTATATATGACACGGCACCAGAGTTAAGTTAGGGTTTTTCAAAATGCTGACACGCTGAGCTCAAAAGGTTCGCCATCACTGATCTAAGCCATGGATGATATGGTGAAAAAAGAAACATTTCACTGGGGCTGGTGTTCACTTGCAAATTTGGCCTTTTGATAACCAGTATCCTCCCTGGAGTTATTGTTTCTGGTATGGCTGCTACAGCAGTACTTCTCAAACTGAAATCTGATAGTTCCATTTGGAGAAATTCTCAGGGTTTATTTATTTTTTTAAAAAAATTATTTAAGTGTTTGGGGTTCATTCGAATGACCATCAAAATATGTACATTTTACGTAAGTCCAAAGATCTTACAGTAATGGCCTGCAATTGAAAGACATTTTCTTAGAATAAGACATAGTTTCCTGAGTTAGTTTTTCTCAAACCAAAGTACCTGTATATAAAGTACATGTTTGAGAAATAAATTGAGAAGCACTATATGATGCCTTGGTTTTCCTTTGGGTTTGTAATTTACTAGATTTCCATAATATGTCAAGGGATTTGACTTTTGACTATTACTTCTGGTCAGGTTTAATAGCAGGAGAAACTTATGTTTGTGGAATCAAACTTTGAAGATGTGAAGTAAGAAAACCTATTTCTTAAGCTAGTAAATTCTCTGCTATTCTCAGCAAATGACTTTGCTTTAAAACACTTTACATTTTTTTGTTCCTGTTCTTGGGAGTGGTTGAGAAGATTATATATGTTTTAATGTATAATTTTACACAAATTTTATTTGTGCTTAACTTTTCAAGTATTCGTTACATAAAGGTCCATCTATCATATGTGTAAAAGTACTTAGGATGGAAGTTTAATAGTGCTTTATATGTAGGTAACATATACATGAGAAATGCCTTGATTATTTTATATAAAATACATACTTAAAGAAAATTAAAGAGAAAGTGATTATCTTGGGTCTGCCATGGCTAGAAATAGAATGCAATTTATAGGATTTTAAAAACCTATTTTCAAATCTTAATACCAGAATTGGTGAGTGTATGGTATAATGTATTCCTTCCTACTCAGAAGCCTAAACACTTAAACCCCACACCTACACAGCCCCCTATATGTAGTCTATAAATAGGGGAGGGGGGGAGCAGGGAACCTAGAAAGAAAGTTTACATACCTTAGTGAAACAGTATGCTTTGAAACTGCTCTTTGAGTACAGTAGCACCTAGTCATACATGATTCTTTAAATTTAAAGTAAGTAAAATTAAATGAAATTAGCAATTCCGTTTCTCAGTTATATCAGTCTCATCTCAAATGCTTCATAGCCACATTTGACTAGCGGCTACCATATTGGACAACTGAGATATGGAACATTTCACATTTCTGTCATTCAGAAAGCTCTACTGGACAGCATTGCTTTAGAGTAAATAAAGCTAGTTTAAATCTTGATTCTCATGGTTAAGATAATGGTCAGTGCCCTGGCTGGTGTGGCTTAGTGCTTAGAGCTTTGGCCTGAGCACAGAAGGGTCTCGGTTTTAATTCTCAGTCAAGGGCACTTACCTGGGTTGCAAGCTGGATCCCTGTCCCAGTATGGAGTGTATGCAGGAGGCAACCAGTGGGTGTGTCTCTCTCACAGTGATGTTTCTCAGGGTGGGCAATGGGATAAGGACACATATGTAATACCTTAATCAATAAAGAAAAAAAAATTAAAAAACCAATGGGAAAAATATCCTTGAGTTATTGTTTCTGGTATGGCTACTACAGCAATACTTCCTTTTGTTAATTTGACAATTAACAAAACCAACCAAAAAATGTAGTGGTCAATAAGATTTTAAAAGAAGGAAAACTTAGTAAACTATTTCCAACAAAAAATATTTTTGGTATTTAAAAGGTAGCCTATTCATTCTAAAAACTTAGTGATGTATTTAAAAAGACTGCAGACCTCTTGGTCACTGGATCTTTTTTTTTTTTTTTTAGAACTAGCTATACAATATGGCAAGGATTTTTTGAAGTATATGTGTTCTAATTTATCAAGCTTGTATGATACCCTTCTGGCCTGTTGGTCCCTTATATACTGGAATCTTTTAGGAATTACCAAGCTAGATCTTGTCATGTGTAGGAAACAGATTTCCTATTGTTCATGAAGATAAGTATTAAATTTGAGTCTGAGTCAGATTATGTATAAACAGTTTTAAAAGGTGAGAAATCAATATAGTGAGATGGCTAAGAGCATGAGACCGGAAATTAGCCAAACCAGAATACAAATCCCAGTTTATCTACTTACTAGCTGTGTGTGACTTGAGGGAAGTTAGTTATTTAATCTCTTGGTCTTAATTTCCTTATTAGCAAAAGGAGATACTACTGTCTCATGGGGTTGCCTTGAGGATTAAATGAGGTAGTGCACATAGAGTGTTCAGCATAGTACTGTTTTTGTTTCTTTATTATATTTTATTCCCCTAATGTGGATTAGTTTTTAAATCCGAATACTATACTACATGGAGAATCAGTATTTGAAAATCAGCATTTGCGGAAATCACAGAAATAAATGGGAAGAATGTCACAAGCATAGCTTGAACATTAATATTTTTATGCCATATGTTTAGGATAAATGAAGGTTTTAATTTTTTGTTGTTAATTTCTGTGTGATTTTAGTCTGAATCTAAACTTTATAATGGCTCGGAGAAGGACAGTACAGCTTCAAGCAAGCTCACAAAAAAAGAATCTCTCAAGGTTAGTTTCCACAGTCATTTCATAACTAACATTATGCTTTGCATGTGCTTTTGAAAGTAGGCTAATAAGATAAAGAAGTAAATGTGTCTTCCTGAAAGAAGAAAAAAAGTCCAAAGAGGCACACATTAAAAATGTCAATATTTGTATGACATTCTGGAGACAACTGAAAAGGCTGCATAATGACTCTCCCAGAGCAGTTTCAAGCCTCACTTGGCCACTGCTGGGGTGGAGGACTAGGTGTCTTTGCAGAGCTGTCCTCAGTCAGGCACATCACTGTGCCCTTTGAAATTCAAGTTTACTAACTGCTGGGTCATGCATGGGCTGAATCTGGGCATTGGGTAAATATAAAGAAGTCCTCATTTCACATTGTCAATTGATTCTTAGAACTGAGGTGAAATGATGACAAAACCAATTTTACCATAGGCTAATTGATACAAACGAGTAAAGTTTCCGTAGCATCTAATCACCGTTATAATGAAGCAATGGTGAACAAAACGATGTTATTTGAGGACCTGCTGTATTTTATTTGACCTACATGGTGTTTTAAAAATTCAACAATTACAAGTTCAGATTTCCAGCTTCTCTTAAGAAATGTGCAGTATGGCCTGGCTGGCGCAGCTCAGTGGTTGAGTGTCGACCTATGAACCTGGAGGTCACGGGTTCGGTTCCCGGTCAGGGCATATGCCCGGGTTTCGGGCTCGATCCCCCGTGTGGGGCGTACAGGAGGCAGCTGATCAGTGATTCTTTCTCATCATTGATGTTTCTCTCTCTCTCTCTCTCTCCCTTCCTGTCTGAAATAAACTCAATAAAAATATTTTTTTTTAAAAAGAAAGAAAGAAATGTGCATAATGGGGCCTGCCTTCCAGATCACCACAGACCCTGGAGCCTAAGGAACACATCCTTTCCAATTGACTGAACCCTGTGTAGTCTCGTACCTGTTCCCCCAAATACAATATTTGATCTTGTATTTATTTGCACTTATAATTTCATATTAAATCTACTCTTAATTCATATGTGCATTATAATAAAGACCAAAAGTCTACAATTTTTTGGCTGTAGAATTATTAAAATTTTGTTATTTGTATGCAGTAAAACTAGGAAGATTTTGTGTTATAGTTAAAAAAAATATTCATATCACTGACAGGTTACCACCATTCTCCCATCCATGTAATAATAACAAAGCAATAAGGCTAGATTAATTCACTGCTACTTTCCCAAATTATCTCAGAACCGGCTTAGTTTTTTATATTTTACATATTAGTATCAGGAAAGAACAAAATTGTCAGTTGCAAACTGTTGAAGCATTGTTCATAATGTGAAAAAACTGCTAACAGAGAAGATTTCCATGAGTATTAGAATATATTAAGAAAAATTTTAGAAGCAATATGGCATGGCGATTAAGAGCATGTCTTTTAGAGACAGTCTGCCTCTGTTTGGATCCTGCCTCTGTTACTTACTAGCTGTGTGATCCTGGGCAAGTTACTCTCTGTGCCTCAGTTTTATCTTTTGTAGAATAAGGGTACTAATAGTCCTACTTCCCAAGGTTATTGTAAAGATTAAATGAAGTAAAACATGTAAAGTGCTTAGAACTGTGACTGGCACACAGAATATACCCAGTAAATGTTAGCTCTTATTATTTATACTAGGAATTCTATGTAGCAGTGAAAAAATGAGGTGGAGCCCTAGCCGGTTTGTCTAGAGCGTCAGCCCATGGACTGAAGGATCTCGGGTTCAATTCCGGTCAAGGGCACATACCTTGGTTGCATGCTCAATCCCTAGCGCTGGTCAGGGCATGTGTGGGAGGCAGCCAGCTATATGTCTCTTTCACATCAATGTTTCTCTGTCTCTGTCTCTCCCTTTCCCTTCCACTCTCTAAAAATCAATGGAAAAACATTCTTGGGTGAGAATAACTGAATGAGTGAATGAATGAATGAATGAATGAGACCTGGAAATGCTCCAAAAAATAATGAATGGGAGAACAATTTTTTAATGTGTTTAAAAATTCAAACACGAAAGTTGTATATTTATTAGGTTCTATACATAGAAAAGGGCTAAAAGGATAGTGTTTTCAAAATGGTTAACAGTGATCAATTCTGTGGATTAGAATAGGATAGGGTATACGAAAGATGGCTTTTTAGCTTTATTTGTGTTGTTTTAAATTTTTTACCAGGAGATTGTATTTATGTATTATTGTGTAATTTTAAGAAGGTAGAATTATTTTAAAAGATACAGAGAACTGAACTAGTGATCAGAAGAAGTTAGATTCTAACCATACTTCTCTAAAAATTCTACCAGTTCTTAAAAAAAAAAAAAAACACTGAAAAAAGTAGTTTTTTTATCCTAAGATGCTAGAATTCTAAAAGAGGGTTAGACTTTTATACTCTAGATTCTATACTCTAACTATATAGAGTATAAAACTAAAAATTTTGAAAATAAATTGCCCATTTCTAATGAATTTTTAATTTTGCTATTGTTTCTGTAAAATAGGTGCAAAAGAAAAATTACCGAGAAGAAAAGAAAAGAGCCACAAAGGAGTTACTCAGTTCAATCACAGATCCTTCTGTTATTGTCATGGCTGATTGGTTGAAGGTCAGTTTGTATTGAATCTTGAATTCTCATTGCTGGATGTTTATCTACTGGAATAAGAAAGCCCAGAGTACACTAAAGCCATCCTGCAAGACATAAATAACTACTAGGATGATTGTTTTTCACTGACAAACTATTAATTATATCCCAGAGGTTCTCTGTTCCAATCTTAATGGGGAGAAGGAACCTTAATGTTGTTCTTTCTTGACAACAACATCAAGTATGTATAGCAGTTCGTTTAAAAAGGCTTTTTGATTTGTACGACATTATGTAGTCTAATCAATATGCTATAAAAAAATATTTTGGCCCTAGCCAGTTTGGCTCAGTGACAAGAGCTTCGGCCTGCAGACTGAAGAGTCCTGGATTGAGTCCCAGTCAAAGGCACATACCTCTGTTGCAGGTTCGATCCCTGGCCCAGTCTGGGTTGGGGCATGTGCAGGAGGCAACCAATCAATATGTCTCTCTCACATTGATGTTTTTCTTTCTCCCCAGCTCCCTTCCACTCTCTCAAAAATCAATGGGAAAATATCCTTGAGGATTTAAAAAAAATTATTTTCAGATTATCATTTAGTATTATTACAGACTTGGTATATGCCTTATTGAGAAGATATGATACAAAGTTAATATAAAAGAAAAGGATTAGTTTTCAGAGAAGTGTACATATTGCTGTTTCCATGACTTATTATTTTGGCCTCTGGTTATTCCCACTTATTTATATTTCCTTTTTTTATCATATCAGTCACTCTTTCTTGTTTTTATCAGAAGGATATTTGGTAGTAATCTTTCAGACTAAGGCTAACTTTGAGAATGATCTTATAAAACCCTGACTCCCAAGAAATTTTAGTATCTGGCATTGACCTAAAAATGACCCCATTCCTGAAAGCTTTGCGCTTTCCCAAAGAGTTGGTACAATCACCAACCTAAAATCTTTATGAGATCTGTCATTGAAGTTCTCTTACTAACATAGGAGTCTAGTGCTGGTTTCCCTGAGAGTTCAAGTAATATTAGGGTCTTCTTCAATGTTGTGCTGAAAACACCTTCTAATTTTGACTTTACTTAAAAGACTTCAAGCTCCAGATCACACTTGGGTTTTTCAGAGCTAAACCTACTCTTGTCTTTTTGACATTGGATTTCCCCAACCAGTTCCCCCAAACTCCCCAATACTTCCCCTGGCTGACTTTCTAAATCCTACCTGAATTCTGATAATTTACCATTCATGTTTTACTATCACATCTCCAAGATCTAGAATCTTATCTCAGAATAACTCTTACTTTCCATCTCTTTTACATATATGCAGACTCTTTCTTAAAGATTTTCTCTTTTTTTCATGTCTGATTCCAAATGCCCCCTTTCTAAATTTTTCTTATCTAGAGTTACTGTGGTATGCCTGTTTGAGGAATTTGGGAGCCCTATACTTATTTCATAATTCATGTAAGTGCATTGAGAGAACAGATGTTTTACAGTAAATAAAACTGAGGATAATTCCTAGTTTTTAATATTAATACTATATTAGCATCCTTTTCAGTACTGTGAACTCAGTGACTTACATAGAAACACTTTTAATGGATTACAGATATAGAATAGGAAAAGGTAGCTATAGACTTTTTTTTTTTACATAGCATTAAACCCTAGGATGAGGAACATTTTATAAGACTAGAGAGAGAGTTATGTGACTTGTGTTTTAAAATATTCCCAAGAAGTTTATATGGCACACTCTATGTAATTACTAACAATGGAGTAATTTAGAGAAGGTGATTTTAGGGATAGAGGATGTTCTTCCCTTTTTCTACAACTCATCAAATATTTAGGGAATTCCTGGTGTGTGTTAGCAGTGTTTGCAGCACTTTATGTAGTGGTAAAGGGATAAGATCTTAAAAGGTAGAATAATCTTATTCTCACAGAAATAAAATTACAGCTGTTACAGATGCTAAGAGGAGACTATTAGGAAAGTATATTTTAATAGTCCCTGACCTAACCTAGGAAGTTAGGAAAGCCATTCTACTTAGTACAGTATTTTGAAACTGGTGACCCAGTCTCCCACTAGAATTTAAGAACCTCAGAAGCAGGAGTCATGCTATTTTTATATTTATTATTAATGCTTGCCATTTAGTAGGTTTAAAAGAATATCTATTGACTTTAACATGTACATTTTCTAGAAATTTTTAATTAAAACATCCTATTTGCCATTATTCAGTTTACGTTTTATGGAGCAGAAAGAGAAAAGCAAAGCCTTATTTCTTATACTTACTTTCTGTAGATACGTGGTACTCTGAAGAGCTGGACCAAGTTGTGGTGTGTGTTGAAACCTGGGGTGCTACTGATCTATAAAACCCAAAAAAATGGTCAATGGGTAGGAACAGTCCTTCTGAATGCTTGTGAAATCATTGAGCGCCCATCAAAAAAGGATGGCTTTTGTTTCAAACTTTTTCATCCTTTGGAGCAATCTATTTGGGCAGTGAAGGTAAGTACTTGTTATATAGGTAAAAAGTAAAGATGGTAATCTGTGAGTAGAACTGAGACAAATCAATCTAATGGTTGCTATTCTGTGCCAGCACTTATAAATTTATTTCTGTTTTTAAGGGTATTATTCCTCTGTCCCTACCCACAATGAAATTTGCACCAAATGTTCTTGTTTACCTTTAAGATCTAACTTAAACATTTCTCCAGAAAAATGTTTTTAACTTACATTGTTTGTTATCTCTTTGCTATGGGGATTCAGTTTGTACTGATTTTTAAAATTTGCAATTAATAATTCTGCTTTGTAATGTTGTATCATATTTACTGTGTTTTTCTGTTCGTCAAAATTGTAAGATACCATAGAACAGAAGCTGCCATTTTTGTAAGTTTTTTCTGTAGTAATATAAATAGGCGGTAAGTATAAGCAATCACAGTCTTTCTTACTCTTGAGAGGCAACGTTCTTTGAAGATGGAACTCTAATGCTTTATAACTAAAAAACATTACTGTGGTCATTCCTGTGTTATAATAGCAGAAACTTAATCAGGAAAATAGAAAAGCCTTATTTTGATTAACTACCAAGAAATTCTACAGTAGATGTGCAGTACACGCTAACAGAATAAATGTGTCTGAGCCTAGTTTAAGTTTTTACAAAGCCACCATTGTTTTAATTTTAAGAAGGCCAGTTACGCTTGAATAAAGGATTTAGAACTCCTTTAAGGAAAACCACATAATTGAGATTAGCACTAAGTAAAAGTAGCTTCAGCTTTTAAATATTTTTGGTATTGCTTAATTGGGCAATATACATATACCTAGGAAAAAAACTGGGCTTTTTACCTTTGTTTCAGTAGCCTAGAGAGAAGAATAAATTTAGGATTACAGAGTTAGTTCCATTCTGGAATTAGATACTGCCCACAGGGGAAAGAATTTAACCCATACAGCCTGTGGTATTTATATATCATATGATACTCAAATGAAAAAATTCCTTTCAAAACCTTTTATATATAGCATTTATTCTTTACTATTACTCTTAGGAATTGTAAGAATTATAATGAATTTTAAGTCATTAAAAATACTTTTAGCCCTGGCCAGGTAGCTCAGTTGGTTAGAGCATCATCCCAATACACCAAGGTTGTGGGTTCATTCTCCAGTCAGGACACTTAAGAAGCAACCGATGAATGCATAAATACGTGGAGCAACACATCAGTGTTTCTCCCCTCGACCCTTCCTCTCTAAAACCAATAAATAAAAAATTTAAGAAATAATAAAAAATAAATTTTGATATCAAGTTTATTTCATTCCAACTATCTGTGAGAGGGAAGTTTGTACAATTACATGAGCATCAGAATATTCTCAACAAGCAAAACCTCCTTAGGACATTGTTTAAACACTTTTAAAGTCAGTGTCTATGATTAGGAAAAAATAATGTTTATGAGTTATTAACTATGTGTCAGGGATTCTTTTGAGCATTCTACATGGAATATTTTTTTTAATTCTCATAACTTTAGGAAGGATACAGTTTTTTCTTATTAACCAGACAAAGAGATTGAGGCCTAAAGAGATTACTTTAATAATTTTTCTAGCATGGAACCAAAGTTGAAACCCAGACAGTCTGACTCTAGTTACTACTCTATATTGGTTCTAGGAACTGTCCCATAAATTATAAAGCTATTTGAAAATACCCAAGGGATTTTAGAAGATTTGTTAAAATCATATTGATTTTTCTATTTTTAAATTTTGACACTGAATCTTTACTTTCTAATGATTATACTTTTTAAAGTTCATTTTATTCCTTGATCTGAGAACTTGAAAATTATGCTTTTCAATCAAAATTATACTATAAATTGAATCCTCAGATTTTTCTTTCCAAATAAGAACTATATCCTCCTAAGATTAGCCTTGATGATAATAATTACTATAGAGCTCTTGGTGTTGTATACTTCTAAAACAATCCCAGCCAACAACAATAAAATTTCTTTAAAATTAGCTTTTATAGTTGGTATTTATAAACAAGTATATTACTGCTTATAAATGGAGCTTTATTTTTTCCCTAGACCTAGTAAAAATTCTTTTTTTCTTTTGCTTATAAATTATAGCTATATTTCCAGCTGTTTCTTTTTTTCTTTCCAGCTGTTTCTTTATAGGTTCTAGAAGTTAAGTATTTTTTCTAATAGTATATGTGAGATGGAAATTCTCTGTTAAATTAAAATTTTGTATAGTATGGTGAATTTTAGATTTTCTTTTAATGTGTGAACAATGTACAGAAATAATGTTTAATGATAAATATAAGTTGTTCAATTTTTTGGTAAGGAGGTATATTTGTTGGGAAAGGAAAACTTTCCTTAAACTCAACATTTGCTTTCTCAAGAAGCATGAAATTAAATCTTGTTTGCTTTTAAATTATAATCCATGGCTAACTTAGATTGTTATCGATAATAATAGATAATATAAAGTCAAGATATTACAGTACTATATGCCATTTATTTTGCTTATTTTTATTTTATTTGTTTATTTTAAGGGTCCAAAAGGTGAAGCAGTTGGATCCATAACTCAGCCTTTACCTAGCAGTTACTTGATCATCCGAGCTACTTCAGAGTCAGATGGTAAATACAAGTTTTGATGGATTGGATTTTGGTCTCATTTTAAAAGGTTTATTTATATTCCACTGTGTATTTTCCTTTGGGAAAATCTGTCTTTAGTATGGTATTTGCAGCAGAAGTATTGTAATCATCAATTGCTTAGAACATCAAATATATCATTAACTTGGTAGAAAACAGAGGAATCTGATAGGAAGGAGGCATTAGATAATTAAATGATGAATTAACAGCCTTGAGTTTTCTTCTTTATCCTTCACTGACATGTTAACACCTTCTTGATTTGTTTAATGTTCCCCGTGGTAACTCGTTAAGTTTTTTCATTTTAGAGGTACATTTAATATTATTTTCTATCACTAAGTATTAATATTTTTAAGACACACTATTATAATTTTTTTAAATATAAACATTTAATTATAAACTGTTGTTCTGCACTTATTAACTTAATACATAATTCCTGAAGCAAATACAGGGAAAGCAAAACTTATTTATTTGAAATCAAGGTAACTTTAAAACTTTACTAATTAATAATGGATTTCTGTCACACTTTTATATTTTATAGTTTAGACTAGCTTAGCCTAAGGAATCCTGTAACCTTCCAGAGTTTACTTTTACCAGATGAATATTTTTAAGATTAAATTATCATAGGCACAAGTGTTTGTTATAAAAGTGTTTTATTTGGCTGATAATTCCAGCAAATGCTGAAACAAATATATGTGGATTTTAAGTGAAAGTAACATTTTTTTCTGCAAATTACAGTTCTAAATTTCAATTTAAAAAATAAAGTTAATAATGTTTCTACTAACTAATATGGCAGTTAATAACAGTATTGTACAGGCATTTCCCTCACTTAAAATTTTTTATACATATCAGTAAAATGGATGCTAAACCTGGGAATAGACCCACTACCAACAAAACGTTTTTTAGTTTGTTTATAGTAAAACATAACCCCTTCAGTATATTTTATATATCTTTTTGGTACTTTCAAATTATACTATATGTTACTGTTCTAAAATTTAAAAAATAGAATACATGTATTTTCACTAGGTATACTTACCAATGTGTGCTATATTCTATTCATTTACCAATGGTTTCTAGATACTTAAGATGTAAAAAAACACTTGATAAACTGAAAAATCACATTTAAAAATCCGTGTAAGACTTGATGTTCAAAGTAACTTTTCTGGTGCATGTTTCTCAGAGAAATGATAGTATGCCTAAAGGGTAACAGTGTTACATTAAGATGGATGCCAGTTTGTGTAGTTTCTCGAATTATACTGCTTATGAATCTGTGTTCTTCTAGGAAGGTGCTGGATGGATGCTTTGGAGTTGGCTTTGAAATGTTCTAGTCTTCTTAAACGTACAATGATCAGGGAAGGGAAGGAACATGACCTGAGCATTTCATCAGAGAGCACACATGTGACTTTGTATGGCTTATTACGTGCTAACAATCTTCACAGTGGTGACAACTTCCAGTAAGTAGATACTGCCCCTAATTTGGTAATTTGGAGACCATGTTGTTCACTAGGTTAATTGGCAGGCCTAGAATTTTTGTAGTGTATGTAGGATTGAAATTTGGCTGTCTTCTTCTGATTATATGATCTAAGGCCTGGTTTAAGATTTGTTTAGTTACTATGATGAGGTATAGAAAGTTATTTCCATGATCCTAGCTAATGTGAATTACTTGTTATTTTCCAAATGCAACCATGCTGTTGTCTACCTTGTCTTTGTGTATGGTGTTCCCTTCATTAAGAATGAGTTCTAGTCCACCTTGTTCTTTTCTCCCATCAAAAGACTATGTATTCTTCAAGACTGACCTCAAATATTGTATCATATGTGAAAGTCTACCTTGCTCTTTTCTCCTGTCATAGGACTATGAATTCTTTAAGACCGATTCAAATATTATATGCAAAAACTTTCATGCCTCCTAACCATGAAATATCTGGCCTTCTATTGCTGTTCTGTAATGGCACTTGACTTATTATTATTTTTGTAATGGTATTTGACTTAATCCTTTCTGGTATTTATGGAATCCTCCTATGATATTGTGCTTTGAGTTGGAACTGTGTCTTATTTTGGCTTTACCACCTGAAGCATTTATAGTAGTTAATTTTAAAAAAATTTTCTTCAGGGAAACACAATACTTTCCTTGAGGTTCAGAGGTTTGTTGAGGTTCAGATTTATTTTGTTGCTTTGTAGGAAAAACATTAGACTTCCCCTTTTCCTCACTTGCTCCAATGCTCAATTTCTGCTCTACAGCTACTTATTGCTATGGGCATTGGATTACTCTCCTGAAAATTGTTAGACTGCTATTCTCCTCCATATAACCTGAGCTGAACTTTTTTTTTCTCTTATCCTTTTGCTTGACTCTTTTTCTTCACTTTCTTTGAAAATTTCCATTACCTGACCTTTTACATCCTTTCTTTGCAGAATTATAATCTTGAGTTTTATCTTAATCCTCAGAACAAAAGCCTGAATGGGAAAAGATTGGGGGGTGGGAGCATAATTTATATAGGAATGGATGTTTGTTGGGGCCTCTTCCTGAAATGTTTTCGTTGAAGCTCTTCAGCTGTAAAACATACATTGTTTTTGTTGAATACCAGGTAATTTCTAAATGCTCTTATTTGGGGATCTTAACAATTCATTTGCTTCACATATTTATTCATTAAAAATTTGGAGCCTGTTTTCTGTGTAAGATACTGTACACTTTTCTGTATAATTTTGAATAGGGAGATGAATCTGATATGATCTTAAATTTGAATCCAGTGTAACAGTTTAATAGCTATGTGATCCTGAAGAGATGTTTTGTTGTATTTGAAACCTATAAAATGCCAGGCAGCAATAAATAGTAGAAAGAAAAGAATAACATAAGCAACCAAAGGAGACGTGCTTTAGGGTAATACAAGATCAAAAGAATTTATAGGATGAAGACATAACATCCTTCTAGGGAATGAGGGAGAGGATCAATGTAACAGATTTTTGCAAAAGTAGAATCAACATATCAACATGTTCATTTTGGCTGGATGACAGAAAATGAGCTGTGAGCTATGATGCAGAGATGAGGGGTGAGAATCTGCTTGGATGTAAGGGACAGGGAGTTGGTGAATTTAAAAATTACCAAGCTTTATGCCTGAGTGATAGGGAAGATGATGGTAAAATAAAACAAAAACCATGTTTGGGAGATAATAATTTATTAAATATTATATATGTTGAAGATGCAGCAGTCCCTAGACATAGATGATATCAGCCAAGCATTTAAAAACATGGGTCTGAAGCTTATTCCTGCATACATGGGTTTGGAAATCAAATAGAAATTTGGTAGCTTGCCAAAGGAGAGAGAATAGAGAAAATAAAAAAAGGGCCAAGGAAGATGAAAATATTTAAGGGTAGAAGGAATAAGAGGGATCAGAGAGCTTAAAAAGTAGAACTACAATTACATGGAACCCACGCATTTAAGACTTTTTCAAGGAAAATAATTATCATCTAGGTTCAGTAATGCAGAGAAGTCAAAGGAGGTAAAGATTAGATAAGGCCATTGGGTTTGTCAACTAAGCCATCATTAGTGACTTTTGAGGGAACAGAGTCACTTGATTTAGGGGAGTGAAGACCAGATTGTGAGAGGTTAAGGAGAGCAATTTTAGACTACTTTTTAAAAATATATGATTATAAAGGGAAAGAAAGAAAGTAATATGCATGTAAAAATGAATTCCTGTTAGAAATTATCTGGTTAAAATCCAAACAAATGAAGATTTTGGAAAAATGGACACTAACATAGGAATCAAATAGGACTTCTCTGCTCTGTTATTATCTCAGCATTGCTAAAATATCAATGGTATATAATGGCATCGTGTATTCATTTTTAAAGTAGTACTTAAGTGTTCATCCCTATAAGATTTTTATGCTAAATGAAACCCACAGAGTTAGTTCCCTGTATGGAACTAACTCTGCTAAATAAGAAGTTTCTAAAAACAAAAAATTGATTCTGGAAGTAAGGTTTTTAATTCTCTTTTTGTATAGATTATTGACCCTAATCACTTTGGGGTTAGGATAAACAGGATTGTTATAACAGCATATCAATTTTAGGTTACAGGTTTATTTCCTTAAACTAATATTTTCATTTCCAATTTTCCTTGAACTTTTTTCTCGATTATCTTATCAGTTAAGTATTAAGTAGCTATAATTATTACCTTTTACATTTTCTCGTCTTATACTTCTTTTGAGTGACTTTGGCAACCTTTACAGGTGGAAAGTCATACTTCATTTGAGTTCACTTGATAATCTGTCTGATGATCTTAACTTGAAGTTTTCCTTCAGACCACAAGTGACTCAAGTGACGATGACTACAAAACTAAGAAAAAAAGCCAGCAACAGATTGTCTAAAATTTTGCTTTTGGACAATTTTAGCCCCAGCTGGTACAGAGGCAAAGAGTTCAGTGTCATCTTGAACATTTCCCAGATTTTTCCTTAACTTCTCTGTGCCGTTTACTAATCTCATATGGTTATTTTGAAGATTAAATGAGTAAAACTATTTAAAATATTAAGAACGGTGCCGACACATAATAAATTATCAGTAAATGTTATATATCATTCTTATTTATAAATTAAATATTCTTAACCTCTTTTATTCTTCCTTCTAATAATTCTTTTCCTTAAGGTTAAATGATAGTGAAATTGAACGACAGCATTTTAAGGACCAAGATATGTATTCTGATAAATCCGATAAAGAAAATGATCAAGAGCATGATGAGTCTGACAATGAGGTGATGGGGAAAAGTGAAGACAGTGACACAGATACATCAGAGAGGCAAGATGACTCATACATCGAACCTGAGCCTATCGAGCCTCTAAAGGAGACCACCTACACTGAACAGAGCCATGAGGAACTCGGAGAGGTAGAAGTCTGTGATTTTCAGAGATTTGGGTTTTCTAATTCTAAAGAAATTGAATTTATTATTTGTTTGACCTATTGCTTATTTTCCCAAAAGAATAATTTACACCTACTTTATTTTAGAAGTTGTATACATATGAAATATATCAGGATTTATAAACAACTAAGAACATGTAATACACAAATATGAATATATTCTAGTAAATTTACAGTTTACATTTTCTTCAGGTTTGCTTTTGATATAGGATGCTGCTAGATGTCATTGCCAGGTACAAGTAAAATGCAGGAAACTTGAGTTTGTAACTTTGTTGTTTATTGCAAGTGCATAGAGGTAGCTTTATTATAATGGAGTATAATATTTTTGTAATAGAGTCTTTATATCATTTACTTTGATATCTTTTGCAAATACCCTTTTTACCTAAATTTTATAGCTATAGACTTTATTATTTAATGGGTTGTTTTCACATTTTAAGAATGCTTGGAATGGTCAGATAGAGAGTTCTGGTTTTCAACATTAGCTGTCTTTTCTACACATCTATGTGTCTGAAATAAATATAATATTTCAATATTTTTTGTTAATTGCTAAAGGCAGGTGAGGCTTCACAAACAGAAACTGTGTCTGAAGAAAACAAAAGCCTTATCTGGACATTGCTGAAACAAGTCCGTCCTGGTATGGACCTGTCCAGGGTGGTTCTGCCTACATTTATTTTGGAACCTCGTTCTTTCCTGGATAAACTTTCAGATTATTACTATCATGCAGATTTTCTGTCTGAGTAAGTAAATTCTTATTTCTTAGAGATTTCCCAGATTGCTATTCAGTGGTCTTGCCTTACCAAAATTGGTCTCTAGTGAGGTAATCACTCTCTTCTTCACCACTTCTGTAGTTGACCTTAAGAAATAAGAAACATATTTAATTCTTTGGTATGCTGTTTTCAGTTGAGTTGAGAGATCACGAGCTTTAGGAGGACAAGAATTTTACCCTCATCCGACAGCACTGCTGTCACAGGCTCCCTGACCTTTTGCTGACCTAACACAGGGAGAGGTGGTTGGCATTCTTTGTTCTCCCCACTTCAACCCTGTTCAGGTCCCACCCTGTGGCTTGTGCTTTTTGTTTATACCTGTCCTCTCTGCGTGCCTTTAAGACATGTGCAGCTTTCCGGATCCAGAATGCCCCACCAGTTGTTGGCTCTTGGTGTAAATCACCACTTTTGTCTTTGCTTTTTTTTCCTGCCAGCCAGTTCTGAAGAAATCAGGCATAAAGGAGGTGTAGGAGGAACTGTCCACCTCTGTCCCAATACTTGTTTGAAGCACCAGTAAAAGACAGCAACTTTGTATGTTTCCAAGTTTTACCTGCACCCCAGTTCCAGCTACAGTGGTGTTGCAAGGCACTGTGTTTCTAAGTTCTGGCCCTGTGACCTGATTTTTAGATCCTGTATCAATATCTGTATTCAGTTTACTGGTTGCATTATTAGTCTGTTAGTTGTATTAATAAACATTGGCAAAATCATAAGCTGAATCAAAAGATCATTGATAAATTGTGGGAGATTTTTGCAAATTAAATCATACACAAAGTTTTTATCTCCCTAAAATAAAAAGTGCTCTTACAAAGTGATTGAAAATGATCAACAGCCTAATAGTAAAGGAGTGGAGGAAATGACTAGTTTAAAATGACTAGTCCTTAAACATACATACCTTACACAAAATAAGAAAAATGCAGTTTAAAACTATAACATACTATTTTTTATCACATTGACCAGAAGTCCAAAACCCTTAATGCCCCAGTTCTGCTTTGTATGTTATTATATAGTTCTTTCTTTTATCTGTCTAGACATTCATTTCTCTTAGAGTGTGAGGAAGGTTCCTGTGAATCACAATAAGATCTTGAGAGATGCCTATTTTCCTCAAATTGGAAAGTTACACTTTTTGGCAACACACTATTTTATTGCCAAGGCTGTGTGCATCATGCACTCCTGCACTGCTGCTGGGCAAGGTAAACTAGCACACTGCCTTTGAAGAGGACCTGGCAGTACTTACCAGAATTAGAGATGCATTCAGTCCTTTGACCCAGGAATCCTGCTTCTGGGAATAATTCCTACAGATACAGCTCCGCATGTGCAAAACGACCTGTACATACAAGATTGTTCAGCAGGGCCTGTGATCGTGTACGATTGGTTAACTCAAGTGTCCCGCCACAGCTGACAGTTAAACAATGTGTAGTGCTTCCACACATAAGGAAGAACCCTATAAACTGATAAGGAGAGACCTTCAGCATTATATGTGTGTGTGAAAAAAGCAAGGCACAGAAGAATGTGTGTAGTTTGGTGCTTTTTATCTTTTAAAGAAAAAGACTACAGCTCTAGTCGGTATGGCTCAGTGAATAGAGCATCCCGGGTTTGATTCCACTCAAGGGCATATGCCCAGGTTGTGGGCTCGATCCCCAGTAGGGGGTGTGCAGGAGGCAGCCGATCAATAATTCTCTCTCATCATTGATGTTTCTATCTACCACTCCCTCTCCCTTCCTCTCTGAAACCAATAAAAATACATTTAAAAAAAAGACTAGATGGCTTCTTTATGCTTAAAGAAAACTGTTTATTTTTTAAAAGCTAGTAGGAAGAGCCGGGGAAGATGGGACAATAGCAAGACATGTATACTTTATTTTTATTTTTTTAAATATATTTTATTGGTTTTTTACAGAGAGGAAGGGAGAGAGAGAGAG